GAGAATATAGAGGGCTTTCATAGAAATTCACTTTAGAGAGTTAATTTAATTTTATTTTATGTGCATTGGTGTTTTATCTGCATTCATGTCTGAGGGTGTTTGATCCCATGTTATAGACAGTTGTGAGCTGCCATGTAGGTGTTGGGAATTGAACCTAGGTACTCTGGAAGAGCAGCCAGTGCTCTTAATTGCTGAGCGATCTCTTTAGCCCCAACACCTATCTTTTTAAATAATGTTCTTCTGTGTGTGTTTTTTCACAATAAATACATATTATTGAGGTTTAATAAGGAACAGGAGAAACAGATAGGCCGAATAGATGTTTATTCACAGAGAAATAACTTACAACATAGACAGATGAACACCAGCAGGTTCCTGGTCCCAAGGATGTCTCTGGATGTTCTTGTGTCCCTGTGCTGCAAGCAAGAGCGCTTCCAGAGCCCCTTCCTCAGACTTAGTTCCCCCAGGTAACATCTGCCCCTTTCCCCATCCCCAATGGGTATGGTCTGTGCCATAGGTGTGGACAAAGTGAATATCTCACTACAATTCCCCTTTTAGTCTAAAGAAAAGATTTAGGCTTGATATTGTATACAAAACAGTGAATAACAAGTGTGCTCTAAGAAAAGGAAAATCAAGAACATACAAACTTAAGACCTACAACATATGGCTTAAATGTGAAAATCCAGATGTGATGGCACATGCCTGCAGTCATAGCACTGAGGAGGCTGAGATAAGAGGACTGCTAGTGCTAGGATAACATGGCCTTCATAATGAGACCCCCATCTCAAATAAAAGAAAAGGAACAAGAGTATGAGTGATAATCCCTTCTGTCAAACAGGCCAACCATAGAGGGAGGGAGGGACGAAGGAAGACAGCCAGCCAGCAGCTGTGGCAACTCAGATAGCTGCTTCAAGATTGGAAGTAATGTTACACAGAAGTTCTTTCTTTGGCTCTCTGATAAGGGCTGGGCAGATAGATAGGGCCAGAAGCTGAGATCTGGTTTTTAATCCCTTTGGATTATATGTATTACAGTAGAGTTTGGTGTTGCTGGAGGTTTTATGTTTTGTTTTATTTTTCACTTTCTCAAAATGTAAAGGGAGAGTTTTGAGTAATAAATTATAATCCTTTGATGTTTTTTATTCTATATATTTGTTTGTTTTTCAAGGCAGGGTTTCTCTGTGTAGTCCTGGCAGTCTTGGAACTCGCTCTGTAGACCAGGCTGGACTAGAACTTATAGAGAGCCACCTGCCTCTGACTCTGCCTCAGGAGTGCTGGAACTAAAGGCATGTACCACCATCACCTGAATGTGATTTTGATCTTTAAAACAATTAGTATAGTTGTAAATAACCAGAAGAGTTATATTCTTATATTGATGCAGCTATGAAATCTGTCAGATTTGTGTTATGATACCTCACCATTCTCTTTAAACCAAATTCCTTGATTTGTCACATCTTTGTTATCATGGCACATATTTGAAGGAGTTATATTCCCACCAGTAATTTATAGTGAATTGAAGAAGGTAGAGATAATGGGCAGCTGCAGCATCCTGTCAAAGAGTTTTAAATAAAGAACAGTGTTAGGAGACGAAGGACACCAACATCATTTAGAAGAAAGGAAGAGAATAGAAATTCAGCTTTAACCAAGGTGAAATTAAGCCCCTGTGCGATTCTGAGTGAAGATATCTAGAAAGTAGAGAATAGATTATGTTTTGGAAACTAAGAGAACATGTGACTTGCCACCAACATTTAGAAATAATTCAATTGCAAGAAATAAAGGCTATGAAAAAAGAATAAGTTTTATTGACATTAACAAAAATCTTGGGGTCCAAATATATATATTTAAATTATAGCCAGGTGGAGAAACAGGCAAGAAAGGCTAAGAAAGGGGTGGGCAGACTTATGGTCGTGAATGGATAGTGTCCAGAAGTAAAAGTAGTTTTTAAAAGACAGTTGTATATATTTGATTAAATACATTGAGTGAATCCGTTTATAACAAAAGACTTAAAAGGTCATAGAAACAAAGAATTGAAGAAAAGGCTAAAGCAAGCTATAAGTGTACCCCCCCCCCCCAAAAATAATCATGTGTAAGAGATTTGGGATTCTTTTCTGTTTCCTACTCTGCAGGGAGTAGGCAAGTTAAAGCTACAGCTTAGACACCAGAGGCACTAGGAGCTCAGGAGGGGAGGTGCTTTAAGCAAGGATATAGATTACCTAAAGAATAGTATGCCTTTTGTATCCTTTACTGGGCCATACAAGTACTGATATTCACAAGTCTCCTGAACTGCCCTGTGTCCTGTTCATGATTCTAGAACTCTGCCAGGTTTGAATATGGAGAAACAGAAAAATGTGACCAGGGAAGGAGTCAGGGGAAATATATAAAACAGAAGAAAGGTTTTTAACAGTTAATTATGTTTTCAGATTATTAGGTATTTCATAGGTAAAACAATGAAAAGATGATTTTATTACTTAAAAGGTACAGTACATTGGCGTTTTTGAATTTAGCCATTTTGACGGGTGTAAGATGGTATCTCAGATTGTTTTGATTTGTATTTCCCTGATGGCTAAGAATATTGAGCAATTTCTTAAGTGCCTTGCAGCCATTTTAGATTTATTTTTATTTTGTGTGTATTATTATCTTGCTTACATGTATGTGTTTGTGATATGTGCTTGCCTGGTGCTCATGGAGGCCAGAAGAGAGTGTCAGATCCCCTGGAACTGGATCTGCAGATGGCATGCCACCATGTTGATGATGGGAATGGAACCGGCTCCTCTGCAAGAGCGCTTACCTAGCCACTGAGCAGTCTATGAATACTTAATAGCTTAATCTGTCAAGCATTTATTTCTCACTTATGCTGCTTGTCTGTTGTGATGAGAACACTTTGTGCCTCACCGTTACTCAGGATTTATGGAAGTTAATAGTCTTAACCATGTTGCTGCCATCTCTCAAAAGATGATTCTTAAGTTCCTGTACTGTAGGATGAGTGTGAACAAGAAGTAGGAGACTCCCATCTTCTCTTAAATGCTTTGGCCCTGGCTAGCCCAGGTCATAGATCTTTCTTCGTGCCACAGAATTGGGATGTGTCACCCCCAGTTACTGAGAAAGGACAGCAGATCTGGCATTGTAAGCACTAAAAATCCTTACCACCCATGAGGGACAGGACTCAGATCATTGTTGGACTCACCTAAGTAGAAGATAGGAAACAGCAGGGCAGTGCAGTTTTCAAACCTGAAAGGGAAATAATTTCATGGGGACTAGTTAAACTGTCAGGTAACTATTAGAGTATTAGTAGAAAACTAGCATTTAAGAGGAAAAGAGTGATAAATCACTTACCCCCTGTCCGTTCCTTTTCTTGAAATTATCATAAGTTATGTTACAATAATAAAAAGAGAATAAAACAAAGATTTGGAATCAAGGTAAGGGGCAAAGTGCAGGGTACAGTTGAGACCAAGGCAATAAAATTAAAATGCTGAGAAAAGCCAGGTGAGGTGCAATAAAATGAGCACTTGGGAGGTTGAGGCAGGAGGATCTGAAATTGGAGGCCAGCCTGTGTTACATAGTGAGAACCTATCTTTAAATAAACAAGCAAACAAAAACCGAGGGAAAGGAGATATGTGTAATGATGTCAAGAATTTTGTTTCTGTGAGAACTCAAACTGAAAAAAATAAATACATTAGTTTTAAAGTGCTTAAACTAATATACTGAATGTTGTTTAAGGAAAGAAATATAGCCTGTTAATATCATCACTTTGAAGATGGGACAGAAAGACTGAGTTCCAGGCTATCCTGCACTCTGTAGTGACATATTGCCTCAAAAACACAAACAAATAAATGCAAATGTGAATAATGGGAAAATGGTTAAAAGATAATGCTTTTAGGAAGTGCATTTTGGGAGTGGAGTAGAGTAAGACAGAGAACAAATAGGTCAGGTTAGGCTTCATGCCTTATAGGACTAGGGTCTCTTCAAATTGTCTATGAATTGGATCTGGTGGCATTGGTCTATATTCCTAACTACCTGGGAGGGTGAAGGAGAATCACAAGTTCTCAAGGACATTTTAGGCAACTTATGTCTCAAAATAAAATGTACAAGAGGGCTGGGGATATTGCTCAGTGGTTAAGCATTTGACTGTTTTGTACATGACTCTGCCTTCCATCCCTACCACCCTTTCCTCTTAAGAACCTGTCTTTGTTTTTAAGAAAGGTAGATAAACAACCTGTAAGCAATGAAAAGGAGCTGTGGATTTGGGCAACTGAAAGATTGTTGTTGGTGTTGGTGTTACTTCAGTCATTGATTAGCGGGTGCAGACTAAGTTGAAGAGTCAAAGAACAGAAAAATTGTTCCCATAGTGCAAAGGAATTGATTGAAGGACATCAGCTGGTATACAAGAGTAAAGAATGAAATATGCTGTATAGTTATATTACCTGCCTCTGTGAAATGCAGAATGTGAAGAGATAACTTGAAGAGATAACTTCAAGTAAGTTGTAAAGATATATTAAATGCTTACAGAGAGTTCTTGGTAAAGTACATTTGATTTTTTTTTTTCCTCTTTTAGATGGCTAGCTTTTCTAAATTCATCCATTTTTTTGATGTATGTTATATAGACTCTTCTGAATTGTATCAATAGGAAAGAGTGAACTATTGGTATAGTATTGTTTCTCTTCTTTTAAGTGAACTCTACCTTTTCAGAATTCCTTTATTTCAATTTAATACCCATGCATAAAGAGATCACAATGTTTGTTTCTTGCTTTATACAAAGATCTAGATTTTACATTATGCTATGTAATGAAAACAAAAGGCATACCCTTTCCCAGCTTTCTGCATTAATTTGATTGTTCTAGTGAGTTCAGTTCTCTAGTTCCTTTTCTGGGTTCAAGCTTTTTGTTGAAGCTTGGTCACAGGGGTAATGCTATCGTCTTTAAATTTGGTCATGGAATGTGTTACCCTGCTCCACTCAGGGAATGTGGCGCTGTTTGAGCTTGGGTAGTAACGTTTATTTTCTTTGACAGAGAAGCTGATTGTCCAGGGGCATCTAACCAAAGTGACAGAAGAATCAAAGCTTTCAAAAGGTTCGTTTCCTGTTTCCCTCTGGTCTGACAGTTATTTTGGATAATGAAAGTTAGTTTAAATTGTTAAATTTGCTGTATTTTAGCCATGAAATTATTTCTTATAGTGTATAAAATATCAAACTAGTAACAGTATCAGATATTATATAAAATATTTGGATGTCCATTTTAAGAAAAAGCAAGAAAGTATCTTTTAATGTAGGCATTTGTGTATGGTGTTAAATTTAACGCTTGGGGTAGGTTTGCTTTTGACCTTTCTGTCTCATTTCTGCAATGTTTTCAGTTTTCATCTCAAAATTTTAGTCAGTACAATGCAGATCTTTTATCAGTGAAAAATACTTAAATTTATTTTGAAAATTTTTGTATCTTTAACATTTCTTTTGATATTCAGTATTTTTCTGTTTTGTTATCTCAATTTGATTAAAACAAAGTGATGAATTTTGTGAATGTAAAATCGTGTTATATTTGATAATTAACAGTCCAGTAATTCTCCAAAGTAGATTTTTTCTTTCTTTCTTTCTTATTGTTATTATAGTTGTTAAACTGAGGATAGACATTTAAGGTTTAAAGCATCATACTGTTACTTGTAAGCATAGGAAGACTAGTTTAATGAATCTGGTAAGATGTGTTCATTGTCAGAATGGAACGTTTGTCAGATGTTGCCAGCATAAAATTTAAAACTGCCTTCCCAATACTAGTCAGTTAACAATGAAAGCTCAGAATTTTTAATGCTTGATTTTAGAATATTCGGTGTTGTCAGAGGTTTGCTTGCTTTTTAAAGGGTTTTAAAACAGACGGTGTCATTTGGATATCTGGTAGCTTTCATTATGAGCTTTGTGCACAGTGGATGCCATATTAGGAGAAAGAATGCACAGACCATGCAATGCTAATATTGTTCTGGCAAACAAGCATTAGGTTTCAGAATAGTGAACTATTTTTAGTACACATGCAATTTATTTCATCTTATTCAAGTGAGATGAGAACAGATTTTAAAATAGCCTTTACCTCACCCCTAAGTTCCTGTTATAATCTGTCGATTGAGTAACTTAACCCTGTAAGCAGAGCAAGGAGGCGGTGGTAGCTGACAGGTTCTTCTGTAGGAAAAGTGTCTTGTACCTTAGCACTTCCTGCATTTTGGAATAGAATGTTTTTGCTTGAAATCAGGTGAAGTTTTAGCAAAAGATGTGTGTAACATTACTGATTTTTAAAAGATGATGGATTTAAAATACATTTAGAACATTCTGAAGAACCTGTTTTGATCCACTATTTCTACTTTTGGGTCTTTTTGCTTTGTTCTATTTTGTTTTGAGAAAGGATCTATCTCATGGTGTAGCTTTGTTTAGCCTTGAGTGTCTGTCAGGCTTCCTGTGTACTGAGATTACAAATGGGAACGACCACATTTGTCTGGGTTTTTATCTTATGGAACAAACTGGATAAGTATTCAAGGCTCTTTGTTGCAGTCAGATATTTTTAAAATCTATTATGGCAGATAATTCCATGCAAGTGAGCTTAATTCATTTTCCAAGAATGATAATGTAAGTTTTACATTTTATCAATCAGCATTTGTTAATACTTTTCACATTGCCAGAATCCTGAGAGGAAGCTGGGTAGCCATAGTAGTTATGCTTTTAAATGTTTTCAATCTGGCTAGAAAATGTTTCTCTTGAATTTGACTAAATTTCTTGTCTTTAAAAAATTCATATAGTGATTTTATGGACTCTGTCTTCTTTCCATTGAAAATGACAGTTGCTAAGAATTAAATTATCAGTTGTTACCCATCTTACTGTTTCCTCTGAAGACTTCACTTAATGCGGTGTGTAATCATGTCTTGCATGCACTTCCTGATGAAGGACTAATTCAAGTTACTGCCATTATATATCCATAGTAGCTTAGAAGTAAAAAGGGATACAACTAAATATTTCTACTAACTGTATCCTCAGGTAACTCACTATAGATCTTTTTTTTTTTAAATTTAATTTTATTTCATTTGTATTGGTGTTTTGCCTGCATGTATGTCTGTGTGAGGGTGTCAGATCTTGGAGTTACAGACAGGTGTGAGCTGCCATGTGGGTGCTGGGAATTGAACCTGGGTCCTCTGGAAGAACAGCCAGTGCTCTTAACTGGCTGAGCCATCTCTCCAGCCCCCACTTTAGATCTTTAAATCTCAGTTTCCCCACTGTTTTTGGTGTGTGTGGTCAGTTTTTTTTTTTTTTTTTTTTTTTTTTTTGTTTGTTTGTTTCTGAGACAAGATCTCACTGTGTATCATTAACTGGTCAAAGCCATGATGCCTTGATGTCAGCATTCCTCAGTCCCAGCATGCCTAAGTTTACTTTGCTCATTTGTAAAATGAAATTTAACTTACAAGATTATTGTGGTCTTCTTTAAAAAAAATTATGTTTTTATTTGTGGGTGTCAGGGTACACACTTGCATTGCATGGCATGCTCATATACAGGATAGATGACGGCATGTGTGAATTGGTTCTCTCCTACCCTGTGGGTTTTGGGAATTGAGCTAAGGTTGTCTGGCTTGGAAGCAAGTGCCTTTATCTGCTGAGCCATCTTGCTGGCCCTTTTGTGGGAATTTAATGATAATACTGATTATAAAGCAGGAAGCACTTGAATAAAGAATAATACAGCTAGATTTGGTACTCTAATCTCAGCATACAGGGGGCTAAGGCAGGAGGATTGCCATGAATCTGAGGCTATTCTGGGCTACATAGCAAGTTCCAGGCCAGCTTAAGATACAGAGTGAGACCTTGTCGATAACAAAAACAAAAAAATATGAATATTTTTTCCTTCTTGATCTTCAGCTTTACCTTTTTTCCAAGTAGTGGGTCCAGTGCTATACACAGAAATGGCCTATGGTAGGTGTGTTTGTTTTCTGGTAGGTGTGCCTAGACAGTCACAGAATATGTTTCTCAGTTTAGGAGTAGTTTTGTTACTATGTTACAAGTTCTTCCATTTTCTTTTATATGTATCTTAAAGATGTAATGCTGTAGAGAAATCATTCAGCAATGACTTTTTTAAAAAAGTACTTTTGAAAGGGATGGCCCAGCAGTTAAGAATGCTTAATGTTCTTGCAAAGGACCAGAACTCAGTTCCCAGCACCCATGTTAAGTGTTTCACAACCATTGTTATTGCATCTCCAGAGAAATACATCTCTGACCTTTGTAGGCACTTGCCTTTGTGTGCACAAATCCATATGCAGACATACACATCCATAATTAACTAAAAATAGTTTGTAATTTTTAAAGATTGATTTTTGCTGTTCTTAGATTATATGTTTATTATATGTATGTCTCAGTTGATGTTGCATGTGAGTGCAGGCTCCCTCAGAATACAGAAGAGTGTGTTAGCTCCTGTGGAGCTAGTTACTGGTGGCTGTGGGCTGACCAAATCAAGTGTTGGGAATTTAACTCAGGTTTTCTGGAAGAGTGAGGCAATGTCTTAACTACTGAGTCATCTCTCTAGCTCTAGTAATAACTCCTTAATATTACAAAGTTAAATACTGCTTCATGACCAAAAATAGAGGTTTTAAAAAGAAATAGATATTCTATCACTTGTTTGTTCTGTTTTATTGAGTGGATTTAATGAAGATAATAAATACCCTCATGTACCCATCTCTAGCAATAAGCATTGATAGATACCTTTGTTGTGCTACTGAACCTTGAAAATGCACATGTAACAAAAACTTCATGGCTTGTTGGGTATGGGCTGCAATCCCAGCACTTAATAGCTGAGGCAGGAGATTCATAATTAAGCAGTAAGCTTGGGCTACACAATGATTCTCTGTCTCAGGAAAGAAAAAAGGGGGACACGGGGAGAAGAAACAAAACCTCTAAATAGCTTTAACTAAATATATAAATATTTAAAATGCTATATGTCCATATATCTATTATACTTACTGTGCTTTAATTTTTTAGTTAATAAGCATTTTCAATACACATTTAGTCTTCCCATAATGACAGTACTTTAGTGAACATTCTCAGGTAATACCTCACATAACCCATCATTTCCTTAGGGAAAAGTAAAAGTGGGTTTATACATTCTATTTATTCATTAGATTTGTTAATTTTATATGTGTGAGTATTGCTCTACATATATGTATTGCACCATATATGTGTCTGCTGCCCACAGAGGCCAGAAGGGGTATTGGATCCCCAGCATGTGGAGTTATAGTTCACTGTTAGGCACTCTGTTGGTGCTGGAACCAAACCGAGATTTTCTGCAAGAGTAGGAAATGCTCCTAACTGCTGATCCATCACTCCTGGTCATGGTTTTGATATAATTTGTCACAAATGGTACAGTCAGAAATATGCCATGATTATTTATGATCATAAAAATAGTAATCCATTTAATGGACATGATAATCTCATTAGAGAAATAACATGTATAAATTCCCAGAAAGTGGAGTATGATCAATGGTTGGGAGGGGCACACAACAGAAAAGATATAATATAAAAGAATAATATACTAGAGAAATGATTGCTTATTTAGAAGCAATGAGGTGAAATCTATACTTTGCAACATGGGCCAGATAGAGAAAATGATGGTTGAGACTAGGGAAATGTAGATTCAAGCAAAGCATTGCAATCTATAATGAGCCCTATACAGAAATCTGCATAACTGAATTCCTGTGGGAATCAATACAGGGATGACTGTATAGCTAAATTTTGCAATATGAAGCGTAGTTGATGCCTAGAAGTGATGTTATAGAATTTTAGTTGAGGGAATGACCTCTGTAATCCCATTGCCAATGAATGCCATAGAATTTATAGATACGCTATTATATCCATTGTGACTTAGTCACTCCTCATCTTTAATAAACTGTTGGTCTATGATTAGACCTTTAAGAGCAATGACCTAGAATATTTTGGTCATATATGGCAGAGTAGCTGTAGAAAATACCACTAGAACCTTTCAAAACAGGCCCCCCTTCTTGTAATTCCCATTCATTGTATTGTCTTTAGAAATGGGCTGATCATTTTGAGGGGTACTTTTATAATTATGTGTTTTAGAGTGATTGTTTTTGACTCTGCACTAAGCTAAGCTTCTAGCCCTTTCCTTCAATCGTGTTTAGATAGAGTCCCCATTGCCCTGGGAATTCTGCTGCATTTGTCGTGGTTCTCTGATTACTGTAACAAAGCTTGCTGCGTTTTTTTTTATTCCCAGTTGATAAGTGGACAGACTTGAATAAGAGCCCCAGCCCTCTGCATAGCAGGCAGAGTCCACAAAATGATTTGCTGGGAGCTCTGAGAAATAACCAGCTTTGCGATTTGGAGCCAGTGGTGAAGAACAAGGAGACCCAGTGATTTTAGTTGGTTTTTTAACACTATTTTGCATAGGCATAGTTTCTAAGTATTCATGCTTAAAGCAGTTTTCTTGATAGGAAGTCTTGAATTATAATAATATTTTGACTTGTGTTTTTCCTAATAGAAAACCAGGCAAGAGCAAAGGAATCTGACTTATCAGATACTCTGAGTCCAAGCAAGGAAAAAAGCAGCGACGACACTACAGGTGAGTTTTAACTTAGTAGTTACAGATCTGAACAGTCTCCTGGCAATTTTGGTTTATTAGTTAATGTGGATGAAAACTTCAAAGCTTGTTTTTAATGAAAAAGCAGTGTTTTGACTTATCAGATCCCTCTATAAAATCATGGATATTTTGTTAAAACAATTTTCAACTATCCAAGTGTATTAGATGTATACTTTTAATTTATTATTATGATAACAATAATTTGTTGATAGATTTAAAAAGTCTATAATTCTCTTTCTCCATCTTGTAGACGCCCAGATGGATGAGCAAGACTTAAACGAGCCCCTTGCTAAAGTGTCTCTTTTAAAAGGTACTTCAATGTGTTTCATGACATCTTAAACCAGGGTGTTAAACTCACTTCTTGCCACAAAATCTGTTTCATGTATATGTGAGGCTTTACATTTTAGTTTACCAATTAAAAAAGGAGGATGTAAAGTGTTGGTGCCCAGTGCTTGCTAAATAATATGTATACACACTTAACTTACAGAGTAATTTGATTCAGTGAAGTTAAAGCATAAGAGGGTGAACCTGAAATGCAGTTGTGTTTTTCTCATGTTTCCAATAGAAACATAATCATATTTTTTAACATAATTAGTATAAGGTAAAACTCCTAGCTTACTAGAAGGAACTATATATCCTCTCTGCTGTCATGTGGTGGAAGTCCTTAAATGTCAAACTGTGCTGTTCTTCCTCATTTCTCAGTAATTATGTAGTTTTCAGGACTCTGAGAAATTTGGGACTAAGAGTGCCTTTTCTTTTTCATAATTTCCCTGTCTACTTTCTCCCTCCAGCTCCTTCCATGCTCCGCCTGTTCCCTCTCAAATTCATGTCCTCTTTTCCTTTACTTACGGTTGTTATCTGTATATGCATAAACACATGAATACAGCCTGTGTAGTCTGTTTAGTGTAGCCTGTAAGTGTGTGATTTCAGGGCTGAGGACTTAGTAATTGGATAACCAACTAAGGCCTCATCCTTAGGGAAGATTGAGTCTCCCTCTCTCACTGGACTGAGAGATGCTGTGATGAACCTTTTTGTGTCTCACCCCTAAAAAGGAAGTGCATTTATATCTTGGTAGCTACTCTTAGAATACATAAGTGTGTTAAAGTGTCTTCCCCCATGTGATTCTGTGCATGTGCTGTTTTTCATTACCTCACTTTGCACAAAGTTTCAGTTCAGTGGATGTACATGTGGGGAATGGTGGACTAACACCAGTCAGGAAGCTCTCTGGGGATAGAACAACAGTGGTAGCTGTTTCATTGTATACACATGCCCATTGTTCTAGTGGGACTGTTAAGGAACCCTCACAGCCCAGACTCTGAATTTTGAGATATGAGGGAGGTGGCTTGGTTCACCCTGCATGACCCTGCTGCTGGCCTCGTTGTATAACCATGTCTCCATGTTCTCTCATCTGGGCATCCTTACTTTCTCATTCTCTATGGAGGCTGAAAATCACATGGCTGCTGACCAGTTTTGACTGAATTCCAAAATCCAGGGAAGTTCCTAAGGATGCTGACCCCGGCAGCCAATGAGTCCTTCAGTCTGATCAGTTTCCTTTACTTACTGATCTGTCAGCTCCTAGGCGACTCTTGAGTTGAAACGCATGATTTTTTTTAATGCCATAGTAATTAAAACAAATGAATGTTTGCACAATTCAGAAATCTTAACAGAAATGCAAAACTTACTATATAAGATGTTATTGATACTGGAAAAAGGGGGTGAGGGTGTATGTCGTTGTTGTCGTTGTTAGAGTGCCTGCCACTCTGAAGCAAAGTCCAGGGTTTGCAAGATTCCCAACATGCAAAAACAGACAGGCTGGCCCTGGGAAAGAGAACACTGTTAAACAGACAAAGGAGCTGATACTGGGCAGAGGAGAAAAGAACCTCAGTGCTTTATGGGAACTGAAAAAATAAGAAAGGATGAAATTTAAGTAATAAATACTCTTAAAGGTAGCAGTTTATATGGTTTTTGGTGCTGCATAAAACTTTTAAATCTTCTTGTTAGCTAAATTTGGATTCATTTTTAAGTAGCATTATGATTGTGTTAATTTTATTCAACTTTTATTAATGCTTTTTATTTACTTTAATTATGTGTACGTGTAGATAGAGGAGGACCCCCAACATTGACAACTGGCCTCTATATTTACAAGTACACATGTGTTCACTCATGCATCCACACATGTACATACATGTATGGGCACATGTATACCCATACATCATGATCGCATGCAGGAACACACATACACTCAGACACTTTTTCTTTGTCTTTCCTCTCTTCCCTTGCTTCTCATTCTCCCTTTCTCCTTACATTTCTGTATGATTGGTAACTTTTGTTAATGAAATGGTATTGTTTGTTTGTTTTCGAGACAAAGTTTCTTTGTGTAGCTTTGGAGCCTGTCTGAAACTTGCTCAGTAGAGCCAGCTGGCCTGGAATGCACAGAAATCCATCTGCCTGTGCCTCCTGAGTCCTGGGATTAAAGGAGTATGCCACCACCACCCAGCATGAAATAGTGTTTTTAACAACAGCTTTTCAAAGACTTTAAAGCTGGATGGAGGAACAAGCCTGTAATATCAACATTCAGGAGGGCAGAAGATAAGGAACTCAAGGCCATCTTCAACTGTATAGCAAATTTAGAGTCCCATCTGCCCTTAATAAAATAGGAAAGATTTACAACTTGATGTTTTAACATGATGCTTAGATTTATTTTGTTATTAATTAAGTATGTGTGCGTTCATGTGGAGGAAGTGCACATTAGCGCAGGTACCTGTGGAGGTCAGGAGAGGCTGTCAGATTGCTTGGGGTGGAGTTCCAGCAGGCTGTGAGCTGCCTGTTGTGTGTGCTGGGAACTGAACTGTCACAGCAGTACACACTCTGAACCACTGGGCTATCTCCTCAGCGCCCTGCAGCTTGATTTTTAAGAACAGACTGTTAAAAGACTAGAGCAGTGGCTCAGTGGTTAAGACCACTTGTTGCTCTGGAGGACTCAAATTTGGTTGCTAGCACCCACATAGTGGTTTACAACTACCCATAATTTTTCTTTGAGGGGACCCAATAACTTTCTGACTCCCATGAGCACCAGGTGTGAATGTGGTGTGCATGGATACATGCAGGAGAAGAAACACTTATATACATAAAATAAAATAAAAATCTTTCAAAAGAGAGAATAGAGTGTTAAGTCATTACATATTTTACTAGGAGCAGGTGGATTTATTAGACTTGACAAGAAATAATCACCATTACTTTAAATGGTGGTTATTATTTTTCCTTTGTAAGAGTTTTATATATCCTGAAAATTATTTATTCACTCTGACTTATTAGAAACATTTAAGTTGTGATTTATTATGTCTGGTTACGGTTTGTAATCTATATAATTAGGTGCAATAAATTAGGCTGCAGAAGGTTTGCATTTAATCTTGTCTACACATTTTCCACTAATACTCATCACCAGACTTTCCTCAAGCTTGTGAAGCAGATTGATTAAAAACAAAACTCCTTTTTTAGAAAAATGTACGGTGCTGTGAGAGTAGACTTACACCCAGTAAACTAAGCTAACAAAGCGCTTTTCCAGAAAACCTTGTGAAAAACAGATGATTAATCAACCTTAGCAATCAAAATTGGCTCTTGATTGTTTAGAAGGAGGATTTGCACACTAACTACATCAGTAGTTTGAATGTGGTCATTTGTGTTTATTGCTCCAAACTTACTTTGTAAAGAGTTTAGTCAGCAGTAGTAGTAATACTTCTGTGTCTGTGTGATATGTTTTATTTAACTAAAATGTTGGTCCTTCATATAGTTCAGAGAACCAATTTGTAAATAGTGGTTCCTGTATGAGCACAGGGCATTATTGTGTTGATTGTATCTTCCCTTTAAAATGTTATTACTTGGCATAAAACCCACTTCTTTAGTGTTTCATTCAAAAGCCAAGCACTGTGTTAGTTTTGTTTCACAGCATGGCCGGTAACTGGCTGTGGACAAGAATTGTCTCTGTGTAGATTCAGAGATAGATCCCTTGTTTAAGAGGAGCCATTAAAGCAAAACAGCTTTTGTTTAGCTGTTATAGTAATTCATTTACTCCTACTGTGCTTGTGATGATAAATACAGAAAGATAAGCTGATGTAATTTAGTCAGAAATGACTGGGTCTTTTCCTAAGACAGTGGCATTAGATTGGTTAAATTAAGAGAGATTTTTTTTAATTATTAAAAAAGTGCCAACTTGGTAAACATTGAAGACAACTAGAAACTAGATTCAGTAAGTTTTAATATTCTTCTATATTTACTGTTTTTAAATATATGTAGGCATTTTCTTTTTAATTTTTTTTTTTTACTTCATCATAATTCCTGATCTATAGGAATTATACAGTATTAGGACTAAGAGTCCCATATACTATTGCATGGGAAATAAGATTCTGGGACACAATATAGGCTGATTGATGTTTATTTGGAGTGAAATCACTTAACACCAGAAACAGATGACCACCGTGGGTTCCTGCTCCAAGGATGCCCCCAGATGCTCTCTTTCTCTGACCAGGAAGTAAGAGAGCGAGCTGGGGTCCGGGACTCTAGACCCCACAGGTCCCGTCCACACTTGTTCCCACAGCCATTGAGAACAGGTGCAGGTGGGGGTGGATATCTTTCTACAATACACTCATTCTTCACTCAAATTCCCCAGATATAAGCATTACACCCATATTTGTTCAAATTTTATTCATTATTATTTTCCATGTTTCTCCTTTTACCTGCGGATCATTCAGAACTAATTGCAGGCATGATAACCTTTACTCCTAAATACTTTGCTATATGTCTAGTTAGTTCCTCTTACGTGACTGCTATACTGTTCTTAAAATTAAGAAGTTAACATCGATGTGTTACTCTACTCTGATCTGGAGACTTTATTCTCATTTTTCAGTTTTTTGTTTTTTTGTTTTTTGTTTTTTTTTTTTTTTAAAGGTGTGGGTGGTACGTATGCTTGTGTACACTCAGAGACCAGAACAAGAAATGAGATCCTTCAGGGCTGTAATAATAGGCATTTGCAAGATCCCTGCTTGATACCTACCTGGATGCTAGAATCTGAACTCTAGTCCTCATGTTTACTTAGCAAGTTCTCTTAGCTGCTGAGTCACCTTTCCAGTCCACTAGCACTTTTAGTACAGCAAAGATGAGCAACAGAGTAACTAGAAAGGAAAGAGGTTAGGAAAATGGCATATTTGAGATGTAATGTTGGATTAAATTTATTTTAGTTAAATAACTAAGGTGACATCAGTTAATGATTCAGCAAGTATGTTTATCTACTGTGATGTTATATTGGGTTCAAATTAGATACAGTGGAGCATCCAGTCTAGTTTTTATTGTGTTTTTAGGGTTGACAGTTTTTTTTTTTTTAATTTTTAAAAATTAAACTGTAACTGCTTTGTTTCCTTATTACCTTTCCTTCCCTCCAACTCTTCAGATGGTATCGTCTTTAAAGGTTTTTATACACACACACACACACACACACACACACACACACCAAAACAAACATACAAACCCATAATTTTTTGTTTTTAATTCATTTTTTTTGTTTGTTTGTTGGGGGCAGGGTGGATTAGGGAGAGGCGTGCATGTGGAGTTAAGGGAACAAGTCTTAGGGAGCTTGTGGGAATCCAGGGTGGAACACAGATCCTTGGGTTTACTTGGAAATGCCTCTACCTGCTGAGCCTTGCTAGTCCTTTTTGCATCTGTACTGGCATCTGTACTGGCTTGTCCTTGAGGTTCTGACAGGATATGCTCTGTGCATATTTTTCTATGTTCTCATTTAAAAGGGCCCTGCCCACCTCCCATCCTCCTTTCTCTCCCTCTGTCCATCTGTTCTTCTCACCATTTCTCTTTTCTCTGCCCCTCTTTCCTGTTGCTATTCCTGCCCCTGGAGGCTGGTCTCCCCTCTACCCCCTTCCCTCTTTTTATGATCCCTTTCCCTCTGCTTGAACCCTGACTCATGGCCTCTTTTTCTCTCTTGCTGTTTTCTTACATTGTAACACTCATTTCTTTCTTGAAGAATTTCATTTGTTTTTCCATTTTTATTTAAGTGCCAAGTAAAGTTTTTCTGTCTTACTGTTAAATTTCAAAACTGATGGAGAAGGAGCTGGAAAGAGGGTTCATCGGATAAATTAGTCACTAGCTGTTAAGCCTGACAACCTGAGTTCTGTCCCTGGGACCCCCATGGTAGACCAGAAGAGTCAACTGCCTTATGTTGTACTGTGCATGCATCCATCCCTCTCTCTCTCTCTCTCTCTCTCTCTCTCCTGTCTCACCAAATTTCAAGTTTTACAGGAGCTGTACGTCAATAAAATGTATGTTAATTTCTTTATTTTATAGAACTAATATCCATGTTAATTCTATGTTGTTGAAGGTAAAAATAACTAATATGCTTACTCTAATTTGCTTCTAAGTTTTATTTAACTCAGTTGTGTCATGTGATTGTCTAAACATGAAAAAGAACGTCAGACTATAGAGATTATAGTGCAACTAACACTTGCTTTTAAAATAAACATATTTTTGTCAGATGACTTGCAGGGTGCACAGTCAGAAACTGAGGCCAGACAAGAAATTCAGCATCTTCGAAAAGAATTGATTGAAGCCCAGGAGCTAGCTAGAGCAAGTAAACAAAAATGCTTTGAACTTCAAGGTGAGATCAACATCACTGAAACTCCCTGGGGGCTTTATGAAACAGCACAGTGTGTTTGGATATCACAGAGCTCAGAGAGCCCAGAGGCACTGCAGGATCTCCAGAGCCAGGGCTTTGCTAGGCTTCTCTTCAGATATCCATTCAACCTTAAAAGCTTTCGTTTCAGATGGTAAGATGAGGACTGTGGCAGTGGTGGCACACACCTTTAATCCCAGCTCTCTGGAGCCAGAGGTCAGCCTGTTCTACAAAGCAAGTTCCAGGACAGCCAGAGCTACACAGACAAACTCTGGGACCCCCCCCCAAAAAAAGCTTTAACAACAAAAGACCTTTATTGATAATTACATGCTGATTATACATGCTGATTAATGTCTGAAATGCTTGGGGTAAAAGGTTTCAGATTTCATAGCATTTCATATTTTAGTTTTTTTGGGGGGGGGGTGGAAGATGCCCAATCAGTGAAACTTGAGACTTGGGAGAACCCTGTAAATTAACTTTTGGCTGTATTAGTGCTCACTCTTGGGTGGGGAGTTTATTTAGCAGTAAGGTTGTGGGCAGAGTTCAAGGTGTGAACTCTTCTGAGCAGATCACAGTGGTATGTGTGGGGGGACGGAAGAGTGCAAGTGTGAGTCCAGCCTGGGTAGCTGGACAGTTGAAAGGAAGAAAGAGAAAGAAAGAAAGAAAGAAAGAAAGAAAGAAAGAAAGAAAGAAAGAAAGGAAGGAAGGAAGGAAGGAAGGAAGGAAGGAAGGAAGGAAGGAAGGAAGAAAGAAAGTAGTAAGATCTTCTCATCTTGGCCACTTCTCCTTGGCTCATCTGTCTGATAATCATTTGCCAGTGGGGACTTCTATGTTTTCTGGGGTTTAGCATTTGGTATTTGCCCTTTGGCAATGAAAATCTTGGACACTCCTGAGATCTCATGTATTCTTATAGCATTGGTGGGTTTCATAAGATGTCCTTCCTGAGTTGAAGAACAATTCAAATGCCAAGAAGAAGCTGGGGTCTTCTTATAACTATTCCTTTCCTGGTTCTCAAAGACATTACTGCCTTGATAAGCTGTTAGGACTGTCATTCAAGATAGCTAGAGCTCAGTGTAAGGCCAGGGTTTGATACCTAGATCCCCCAAATTAAAAAAAAAAAAGACATTCCTTACACATAAGAACACAAGAATTTTATGTTTTGGGTTTTTTGTTTGGTTGGTTTTTGGTTTGGTGTATGCTTCTTAAAATTAGTTTTGTTTTGGGTTTTTGAAATAAGGGTCTCATTACATAGCCCTTGCTGGCAAGGGATATGCTGCATAGACTAGGGTGGTTCAAACTCACAGAGATATGCCTGCCTCTATTACCTGAGTTCTTGGAATTAAAGTATACAGTACTATGCCTGGCCCTTAAGACCATTATTATTTTTTAATGATGCTAGAACTTGCCTTTGTGTATAGTAGGCAAGCACTCTACCTCTGAGATATATTCCTAACTCTCTTTTGTAGACAGGGTCCTACAACATATCCTAGGCTAGCCTTGAATTCAGTGTGTAGCTGAGGCTGGCTTTGAACTTGTGAGCTTCTTTGCCTTAGCCCTCCCAGTATTTGGGATTATAAGCGTGCGCTTATCAGTGATGATTAACAGTTAGGATATTTCTTATGTAAGAAAGACTTCTTGGTTGTTCAGTGAATAGATACTCTAACTGGTTTTTATAGATTTGTTGTTACTAATGTTTTGTGTTTCTAAAATCTTAATGGCTAATACTGATAATACTTATCCATCTAACTCTTATGTCTTTCAGTAAACTTTAAAAGAAAAATTTTAGAATTTCTAGCTTTGCAATTGTGAATGTTTTTCATTAACTCACAAAATTAGATACACCTTGTTTTTGCTTTTTAGCACTTTTGGAAGAAGAACGTAAAGCCTATCGAAATCAAGTTGAGGAATCTGCTAAACAAATTCAGGTTCTTCAAGGTATGGGGCATCCCAAGACTGTTTGAGATGGCTGTGGTTATTTTTCAGATTCTGTGATTGAAAAGGAAATAAGGTTGCAGAGGGCCCTCAGTTGTCAGAGCTCTGGTTCTTCCCTAGAGACTGTCATGCTAAGTCCCGGGACAGTTTTCCTTTGAGGAGATGAAAGGGAAGGACTGTCACATTAATCCATTGTTTAGACACTGGAGTCATCAAGGCAGGGGTGATGCTAACTGGTGCTGTATGCCTGTAAACTCAGTCTCAGGAGATGAGGCAGGAAGGTCATGAGTTCAAGGGCCACCTCAGCTATATAATGAATTTGACGTTTGCCTGAGCTAAATAAAACTTTGTCTCACCCCCTCACCCAAATGTTTTTATACGCAAAAGGATTACACACACACACACACACACACACACACACACACACAAACACTTCCCTTTCTACTTAATGTTCGTTTTTAATATCTGTATGAAAATATTGTAAAAACAAAGAGAATAAAAATACTAAAATAAATATCATCTCTGTGGGGGAAAAGAAAATTTACTCTAGCCTTTTATCTTTTCCCTTTTGCATCTGTAATTTGCCATTTTATGTCTCTTATCACAAATTGTTTGTGTAATTTAATCAAAAGGTATAGCTGTGACATCTAGGCTGCATAATAGCTGTGGCCTGTAATGTGTTGTAATTTTGTTCTTAATACCTCTGAACTTAAGAAAATGATAGATTATATGCTTTTACAGTCCAGCTGCAGAGGTTACACGTGGATATGGAGAATCTCCAAGAGGAAAAGGACACTGAAATCTCCAGCACAAGAGACAAATTGCTTAATGCCCAAGATGAGATTTTGGTCCTTCATCAAGCAGCAGCAAAGGCTGCTTCAGAGCGGGACACTGACTTTGCTTCTTTGCAAGAAGAGCTTAAAAAGGTGAGGGCGGAGCTTGAGAACTGGAAGAGAGCAGCATCTGAATATGAGAAAGAAATCTCTGGTTTACAGAGCAGTTTCCAGCTTAGATGTCAGCAGTGTGAAGACCAGCAGAGAGAGGAGGCAACAAGGTTACAAGGTGAGTGAGTGCTTAGGCACAAAGCTCCTAACTCTTGCTGTCAGGGAGTAGGAGGTGGTGGCACTTATTCACACCACATTGTCTCAGCCTACACCTGCCTTTGATAAAAGGTAACTACATAAACCAGGGCTTCTATTAGTATAGGGCTGTTAGTATTAGGTCTATAGGTACATTGTGCCCATCTACAGGTTCTGTGGTAAGTGTATTTTTATAGACATATATTATTAATCATTTATAATGTTATTGAGGAGGATATGTCATAACAATGGTGCACACCCATAATCCTAGCACCTAGGAAGCAGAGATTAGAGGATTATGAGCTAAGGCCTGCCTGGGTTGTATCCTGAGAGTGTACATCAAAACAAGCAAACATTAACATTATTGTTTTAAAGCAGTGAAGAAGCCAGGTGTAGTAGGGCAAACCCTAATGCCAGTGCTCAGGAGGCACAGGCAGATGATGTTCTGTGAGTCTTTGGTCAGCCTAGTTTACATAGAGCATTCCTAGCCAGTCTGGGCTGCAGAAACACCCTGCTTTTAAGGTGATAGCATCTCTTGGAGCAAAGTGATAGGAACCAAAGACTGCCCTTTAAAGACCTGCATGCTTTAGGAGGGGAAATGTGTTCTCTGAAATATTGTTCTGCCTCCTTTGAATACGGTATATTTTGGCTTCTATATTAACACATACATTTTGTGGCTGTTTTAGGTGAACTAGAGAAGTTGAAAAAGGAATGGAATCTATTGGAAACTGAATGCCATTCTCTAAAAAAGGAAAATGTTTTGTTGTCATCAGAACTGCAGCGGCAAGAAAAAGAATTACACAAGTATGTAAGAATTTCCCTTTAAATTAAAAATGCTTACCTTTAATTTTTATGTAAATTAAATTTAGATATTTAAATATCATTTTGGAGCAAAATGTTCAGTCAAACCTGTTATTTGATAAGTTAAACATAGTAAGTATTACATCACTTTATTCCTTTTTGCTACCATATTCAGTAAGCACGCTCCTTTTGGGATATCCTAGAATTCAGATACAATTAAATGCTTCTGCTGTACCATTCCCTACTGTTAAAAAAAAAAAAAAAAAAAAAAAAAACAGCACAGATCCAAATCAGAAATTGCCCTGTTAACAAAAGGACAGTACCTTTCACATAGGAAATGATTGTTCTTTCACTTCATTGATCTCTTAGTAAGAATGGTGATCTATAACAAAGAATTTACCACCAGACAGATGAATTTAGCTTCTAAATCACACAGGATGTGGCTAGATAGCAGACTACTAGAGGACTTGTGACTGTGGATTCTGTTCCTAGCTTAAAGGAGGGAGATGATAGAGTTTTAAGAGAGTGACATTGGACCCATGGCTTGCTCTTACCTGTCTAGCCAAAACAGGAAGCTCCAGGTTCAGTAAAACCTTATCTTTAGAGGAAGACATCTCACACACACACACACACACACCCCTATATGGTGGCACACCCCTGTAATACCAGCACTTGGGAGACAGAGGCAGGAGGACCTGGAGTTCAATGCCTTTTTAGCTCTACAGTTTGGGTAGCCTTATCTCTCTATCCCTTACCCTTTCTACAATCAGTATGGAAATACCCAAAGGAGCAAGATATGCATTTCATTGTAACACTAGGAAATCTCAGAATAAGGATCCATAAAGCACTTTGATTTTTCTCTAAGATTTTATGTATTTTTATTTTATATGTATATGTGATTTGCCTCTCTGTAAGTAAGAGTAACATATATATGCATATGTAGTGTGCATTGGATTCTGTAGAATTATAGTCACTCCCTGAAACTAGAGTTGCAGATATTTGTGAGCTGCCATGAGATGCTGGGACTCAAACCTGGGTCCTCTGGAACACCAGTCAGTGCTCTTAACCACTGGGCCATCTCAGCCCTGATTTTTCTCTTCTAATGCTTTGCTTAGTCCTTTCATGTGTTTTATGTATATTATGTTTTGACTATATGGTGATAATTAATGAATAAAACAAATGTTCACTTGTAACATGAAAGTTAGTACAAGCAATGTCTAAAATAGGAAGAGGACAATACATACACATATGCTTACATGTGTGTGGTGATATCTTGTTTATACAAATAAAGCCTGTCTGAAGGTCAGAGAATGGAGCAAAACACTCGCCAATAAACAAACAAACAAGAAACACCCTGCTTTTAAGGTGATAGCATATAGAAGGACATCCCCCATCACATTTGTATGTATTGATTACCTGTGTGCCAGCTCATGTAAAGTGTTTTGTTCATTTGTTAGTACTTTGAAATAGGGTCTCATGTAGCCCAATCTGGCCTTGAAATTGCTATGTAGCCAAGGCTGGCCCTAAACTACCTAATTGTTTGGCTTTAGTCTACTAGGTATTATGAATATAGGCATTAACTACTACACCCAGCTTGGTTTTTTTGTGTTTGTTTTTTAGTTTGTTTGTTTTTGTTTATATTGTAGTCTAGACTGGCCTGTAAATCAGTCATCCAGATATCCATGATATACATGTACAACATATTAAGTTTTTAGGAATTTATTTAGTTTAATGTTTTTATTGGTATGTATGTATGTATGTATTTATTTTGAGACATAATTTCATGAGTTAGCTAAGGCTGGGCTTGAACTTGATCCCATCTCAGCTTTCTTAGTTCTGGGATTTTAGTTGTGTGTCACTATGCACAGTTTAATTTGTGTTACTTAATTATTCTTGTTTTTTAAGTATTGATATTTAAAGATTCTGAACCTTTTGATCTCTCATTTTTGAGATATGATTAATTGAAATCTGCAGACTGTTAAAGTACTATCCTTTTAAAATTATGTCACTTTGCTTAAATGTCCCAAAAAATGTTTATAGATTCCTTGTGAGTGGAAGCATATTGCTTCAAATGTAGACTTCAGTTGGGTGTGTGCTGCTTGCCTGGAGAATCAGCTATGTGGGATGCTAAGCAGGAAGAGTCCCTTGTGAGACACCTATCTCACAAACAAACCAAAACAAAACAATGGGTCCTAGAAATGTCATTAATGTCAATAATACATGTCATTATTCAAGTCATCTGTCTACACTCACATAAAGTACATACGATATATTAATTCTATTTCTCGAACATTCTGCCCAAGTACTCTACATTTATTTGCTAAGCTTCTCTTTACACAGGGTCTTAAAGGACCTTTAGTACCTATGTTTATTGTTCTGGTAGTATCAGACTCATCCTTAAGGATCTGCTCATTATATAAGCAGAGTGAAATATATGCTGTGTAGTTCTTTATTTATAGTAATGAATCTGATTAAGTTGTGTTTTAAAGATGTAACACTGTCACTTTAAAAATCTTATATTAAAAAGATGCTTTATATGTCTGGGTGTTTTGTTGCTTGTGTACTTGTATACCAACCATGTGCATGCATTGCCTGCAGAAGCCAGAAGAGGGCAGCATATACCCTGGAACTGGCATTACAAATGGTTGTGAACTGCAGTGTGGATGCAGAGAATCACAAATCCTCTGGAAGAGCAACTAGTGCCACAAGTCATCCCCAACCTTGAAAAATGTTCTTCTAACTGCTTGTGGGAACTAATTTTTCTCTAAGCCAGATAATATTGTTCATTGAACAGGGAGTTATTATTATTCATACTAGAGATTGAACCCAGACTCTCAGTTATGTTAGCCACATGCTCTACCACTAGCGCTCTACCATATGCTCTCCCCATTTTCTGAAAAAGGCATTGATGTTCATTCATATCAAGTTACTTTCCTCATGTGTAAAATATTTTTAATAGCAAATTATAAAAATAATTGTGTAATTAAAGCTAGAGAATAACTTCAGATGTTATCTTAGTCAGGGTTTCTATTGCTATGATAAAACACCATGCCCAAAGCAACTTGGAGAGGAAAGGGTGTATTGTATCTTGTAACTCAGGCTGCAGACCATCACTGAGGGAAGTCAGAGCAGGTATCTGAAGACAGGAACTAAAGCAGGGGCTGTGGAGGGGTGCTGCTTATTGGCTTACTCCTCATGGCTTATTCACCTGCTTTCTTATACAGCCTAGGACTGCTTGCCAAGGGGTGGCACCTCTCACAGTTGACTGAGCCCTCCCACATCAACAATTAGGAAAACACCCCACAAACTTGCTCACAAACTAGTCTGGCAAGGGCATTTCTCAACTGAGGCTCCCTCTTCTCAGATGACTCTAGATTGTGTCAGTGACAGAAAGCAACCAGCACAGAGGTGAATGTCTGATACAGAAGGATACTGAGACACTCCTGGATATTAGATGTGCTTTTGCACATCTAAGATCTCAGGAAATGTTTGTTCAGAGAGTAAGGTGACCAGTTAAGTGACTAGCTCCGTATCCCACAGTTCGGTGTGGTAAGGTCAGGCTCCACCTCCCAGTCCAGTCCCTTGTCATGTGATGGTACTTTTCATTTACACAGGTTTGTCTTTGCTTGAGTTAGCAGTGATACCTAAGCTTCAGGTTTCTGCCCCTATTCTCTTTTCAAATACTTAATCTTGTAACATAGTTGAAATACATATTTTAATGTATTTATGAAACAATTAGTGAAAATAATTTGATATATTAAATATATAATTAGAACCAGGCATGTGGGTGCATATATTTTTTCTTTTTAAGATTTATTTATTTTGTATATAGCATTCTGCCTGCATGCCAGAAGAGGGCACCAGATCTCATGATAGATGGTTGTGAGCCACCATGTGGTTGCTAGGAATTGAACTCAGGACCTGTGAAAGAGCAGTCATTGCCCTTAACCTCTGAACCATCTCTCCAGCTCCAGGGAAGGCAGAGGCAGGCAGATTTCTTTGAGTCTGGTCTACAAAGGAAGGTCTAGTCCAGCAAAAGCTACATAGTATGATTCTGTCTCAAAACAAGAAAACAAAAGTAAAGAACCCCTCCCCCCAATACAATTAATCATTTCCTCCCATTTATAAAATTTCTACTTTTTTTTTTGTATTTTTTTTGAAAGGATACAGCTTAAAACTTCAAGGAATATTTTGAAGTGTTTTTAATGCCTTTTCCTTACTGAAAAATCTTACTTTTTTTTATACCTTTGTTTGTTTGTTTGTTTGTTTTGCTGTGAAATACACTTCCTCCCACCTAGTGCAGTGCAGAGGATCATGGGCTTTCTCTGTGTCTAGTGTCTTCTGTAAATGACTGTTGGTATTTATGTTGCAGTTCTCAGAAGCAGAGTTTGGAGCTCACTAGTGACCTCAGCATCCTCCAGATGACCAGGAAAGAGCTCGAGAACCAAGTGGGATCCTTGAAAGAGCAACACCTTCGAGACTCAGCTGACCTAAAAACTCTTCTCAGTAAGGCTGAAAACCAAGCAAAGGATGTTCAGAAAGAGGTAAAGCGAAAAGACATGCTCAGCCCAATTATGATTGGACTTAAAGCCAAAGGCAAATCAGATATCCATGCTTCTTAGAAATAAAGAAAAGCAGAAAGCATATTACTTGACAGTTGACACTTGGAACATCCCAGCCTGGTAATTACTAGCTGTGCGTCATAGTCCATTATCAAGAGAATTTATCAAATGTTTGTTTTCAAACATACAACAGAGCTAGTTTTTAATTTTTCTCTTAACAGTTGACTGGTATGAGAGACCCTTTGTAACAGGTTTCTTGGTCTGATTAACTATCAAAGAGCTTGTCATATTAAATAAAGCATTCTTTCAGAAGGCAAACTACAAACTAGGACAGCTCTTGAGAAAGTGGCTAAAAAGTCCTTACCCTGTGGCTCATGCTTATTATTCCAGCACCTGGGAGGCTGAGGCAGGAAGTCTACAGTGAGTTCAAGGCTGCTGGGTTACACAATGAACCTTAGCTCAAAACACCAAAGTGAAATGTATATACAGATGGCCAGGGTGATGCACACCTACAGTCCCAGCACTTGGGAGGTGGAGCAGGAGAATCAGGAGTTCAAGATCAGCTTCAGCTATGTAGTGAGTTTGAGAACAGCTTAAGCTGCATGAGATCTATGCCAGAAAACAAACAAGGAAAAAAAGCTAAAATTCAACTATAAATAGGCAGCCAAATGCCTGTTCTGTGGAACTGTATTTTTTTCCTCGACTTTCTTTTCGTCTTCACAAAAATACATAAGTTTTTATGTGATTTTGCTTATAACTTGATTTCATGAGCTTTTGAAATAATCATGTCAATGATGGTGGGAGATTAACTTTGGAAGGGACTGCCCCCAGGTCTTTCTGAACAGGATAGGTACATCTTAAAGTTGACAGCTGGATAGTACAAGTTGTGCTCACTCCTGCCCTGACTCCTGGCCAGCTAAGGATGTAGGTTAATAAAACCTGTCTGCTTATCAGAATGTACCAACTGTAGACTTGCTTACAGGCAAGATTCTTCATAAGTTAGAAGGAAGTAGAGCACAGCTCTTTGTCTTTAAAAATGAATTTTCTGAAAGTTGTTTTTAGAAAATAAGATTAATGCAGGTTTCTCTGCACTTTCACTGGAGTATCCTGAATTTGGAAATTATTGTTCTTCTGTCTTTGTGCTTGTTTCTAAAGGAAAAAAAACTGCAAAGGTTTTATATTCATGTAGACACATTGACTTTGAAATGTTCTGCTTTACCTGGGTAAGGATGTGTATTCTAGGAACATCCTCATTTGGTTGAAACACAAATTTTATGCCAAAGTAAATATCCTAATATTTAACACTGTAAGCACTTTGTGCCCTCCCAGTCCATGTGCCATAATTCTTTCAATATTTGGGAAGAATCTGTGGTGGGAAGATGATTCTGTTGTATGTTATTATGAATACATTAGCCGTTTGTTGCATTATTTGCTTGCCTGCTTTCAGTCACTGAATAATCAGTGCCAAATGCTTTACCTGTTTCCAATGGCAGTGGCATGTTGTCACAGCATCTCAAGTCTTTGGATTGCATTAAATGCAGCATATTTGAAAATATGTCTGAGCTTGTTAGTATGTTCTTTCCTATTTTCTTGTTCACTGTTTTTCATTGTGAAATGATGTATATTCATCATATTCCTTTGAAATATGAAATTGCTGTTTGTCCTTCTGTCAATGCATTGGATACTAGTCTGTAAGTAAAAGTTATAATAAGGTTTTATCTCAGTGTAATCCACTACTAATACATTATTACTTTTTAGTAATGCATACTTCTTTTCAACATTTCCCTTTGCTCTCCCTTTCTCTCATGGAGTCATGCTTAATGTGCTCAAAAACCCTGGTTATGTGTCGTTAAGGTTAAACCCAGACATGTTTGTTTTTATGAAGATGAGCCACGGGTGTTGGTAATATTATGTGGTGGTTACTTCACTGTCTACTTCAAAGTTAAAAAATAAGAGGGAACAGATGTTATATCCAACCGAGGGTAAAGCTAAAGCTGCAGACGCGACCTTTGTGCTGCTGCTAAAAGCCTTATCTATGGTAACTTTTATATAATAACTCCAAAGGAAAGGTATGAGAAATTGTATATCATCTTTGTATTTGATTTTATATGCATCTCTGTATTTTAATTTAGAGAGAACATGAGAATATCTATGATCCAAGAGTTCAACCAGTATGTGGCATACACTTGCAATTTGCACACTCAGGAAGCTGAGATAGGTTTTGAGTTGGTGCCACCTTGAGAAGCTAGATAGACTCTTTCTCAAAGAAATCACCCAAGCAGAGAATACACCACACACTGAACATCTAAGTCTGCCCTGAAAAGACTGACTCAGGGTTGGTGTTTGGCTTCCCTGTCTTCCCGTAGAGCCAGAGTCGTCCCCATGCACTCCTGTGGTTCTGTGCTTGGAGTAAGCAGCAGCATCCTGACCACAGCACTATTTCCTATGCTTCCCCTTCATAGTCCCTGAGAGATGATCAAGCATTCTGCTGTACACAGCAGTCTGGATGTAAACATGGTGGCAAAGGAAAGGGAAGGAAGCTTTGTTGGCAAAGCACTTTTGACCTGTTGTTTATTAGCACTGTTGGTAACTGTCTCACAATCACTGAGAACTGATTGCACTCTAAGGTGCAAATGGTAGTCTGGGATCACTGGCTCTTCCTTGGTAGCCTTCTGCCTTCTGGGAAAAGTTCACAGACCTCACATCAACTGAAAAAGGTGGTCACAAACAAAACCTGTGAATTTTAGTCTTTGGTTCATTTTCTAGTGTATTTCCCTTCCTGGTAATCTCTGACTCTGACCTTGACCTTTTCTCTATATCTTTTTTCCTCATGTCTGTACACATTTCATCTTTCTTGGAACTTGACTTTATTAATGAGGTTCTCTCCACTCCAAGGTGTTTGGATTTTCAGGAGTACTATTATAAAAGTGTCCTTTGTTAAGTTTGGGATATAGGTAGAGAAGAAGTACAAACCTTCCATTCTCCTTAGCCATGCTGAGACAAGAGGAAGAGCCTCTCTAATAGACCACACTCATGGGATATTTGTTTTTTATTCAGTCTTTGTCTTCCTGTCTTCCTTCTGAAACACTCAGAGATGGCAGAATGGGGAGGCAGAAGTGGAGACAGAGCTCTGCCCACCCAGCATTTGAACAGTCCCTTTGGGGGAACCTAGTCTTCAGTAAGCTGCAGTGTCTAGAAATGGAACCAGTCTAGAATTCCAACTTCTTGGAAACATTAAGAGACCAAGCCACAGTATATCACATTGGTTTGACCTGTCTTCAAATGTTAGTTTGTATGAAAGCCATGCTTTTATATATATATATTCATATTATATCTAAATATCACTAACATATACCTAATTTTCAAGAGTAGAAAATGGCTGGTTCCTTTATGGAAACTTTTCTATCAGAAACAGATGTTTAAGTCTTTTAAATTGGCACTGATGTGCTTTAAGTGTCAAATGCCCCAGTCTTCTGGTGAGTATATCAGATGCATTTTTCTGCCTTATTTGTTTAAACAGTTCACTGATATCCACTAGTGCTGAGCAGTAGAAGATCAAGTAAATAATGTGCCTAAAATGGCTTCTTTTTCATTACCAGTAAATACATTTAGACCTAATACTTGCCATTTAACTAGGATTTGTCTCTACCTGTTTGTCTTTTGCGCAAAGGAAAACAAATTTTCATTTTACCTCTTCTCACTTGATGGAAGAAGTGACCTTTTATATTATAAACAGATGACAATACGGTATGTTCTGTTCTTTGATTTTAACACTAGGGCAAGGAAGTCATTACATAGAATGACACCAACATTAAAAATATCTTTACTATGAGTGCCAGGACCTTATCCTTTCTGATAAAGAAAGGCTTGACTTTGGTGTTAAAGGTTATTAAACAGAGCCTGGTATATAGCAGACTAGGACCATAACTTCATACCTATTTTAAGTCAAGCCTGCACACTCTTTTTCCTCCCCCTCCCCCTTTACCTTTAGTATGAAAAGACACAGACTGTACTCTCAGAATTGAAGTTGAAGTTTGAAATGACTGAACAGGAAAAGCAATCAATCACAGATGAGCTCAAACAGTGTAAAGACAACCTGAAGCTGCTGCGAGAGAAAGGAAATAATGTAAGTGTTTACCGACTCTGCTTCCATTGAGAGGAATGCTGGAGGCTTGAGAATGTTTTTCAGAAGACTTCATTATGATTTGGGAAAGTTACAGCCTGGGTACAGAAGAAATAAGCTTTTCATTATGAATATCTGTGATTGAATTATTGTGCCATGTGATTTCTTTTTAAGTAAGAATTGATCTCTTTAACTTACACCCATAGCAAAGCTTGAGTCCTTCTTGGTGGAAAACAGCTGTCAATAAAACAACTTAGAAGAATTGTCTGGTATCCAGATGAGTCTGAACTTTTGTCACAAAGCCTGGCTTTTCATTTCTTTCCTACTGGGAAATGAAGCCTGTGCCACCAGAGGCCATTTAGGAGACACGGCACACACGCCTTAACCTTATGTTGTCTCAGAAAGCAAAGCTCTATAATAGTTTTCATTTTTGTACTAGTAAAGTGCATTCCTAAAAGTTTTCTTTTTATTTGGTATCTGTCTATAAGCATTTGGTAAATTGATATAGAGCTTTCTAATGTGTGTTAGAGAGGTGGCTCGGGGGCAACAGGCACAGAGATAGGAAAAACATTTGGCTGTAAATTTAGTTTGATAACACTTGTTGGGAAGAAAGGTCTTTAAGGCCAAGTTATACTAAATAAATGTCGTGTTGTTTGTTGTGACCATTGCCTTTGTGGGCCCTAACTAATGGCTGTTCAGTGTGGTTGGTTGTGCTCTGAGAGTTAATCCAACTCTTACAGCTTGGACACTGTAGTAACCGAGAGCCATATGCTTACTGTGGCTGCTTAACTTGCAGCATAAGTGCAGACGAGTGATGTTGCATGGCCATCCAGTTACACAGTTTTCACAGAATACTCATGAGTTGTGTCCAGCTGTCCTTTGCTTACTAAAGTTACAGATTTTAGACAGTAAAGGATTGATTGCTGCTTAGGTAGGAACCCTTTAGTAACTGAAGGGCCGAAGGCTTTATGCTAAGGTGGATTGCATTTATTTAATGCATAAAATATAGAAATCTTCTAAAATCAGATCATAACGATATATTTTCTTGTGTAATTCATACCTGATTGTAGAAGTTCAGTCCACTTCCTGCTAAATTAACCTACAAAGACATCTTGCATGGTCAGAATGACCTTCCCTGTGCTGTTACTATTTATAGCCACATAAAACTATTCAGTTTCAGGATGAATTTACCTTTTTCACAATTTGGCTTGTATTTCCAAGTAATTTTATTCCCCTTTAAAAAAAATCAGATATGTTTAAAGGAAAGTTGTAAGCTTTGGCTGCCTGTTTATCATACATTGTGCAATGTCTTTTGCCTCATCAAAAATTCCCATGATCACAAAACATGTATTTTTAAGCTTTGAAGCAATACTATCTCGAAAGTGAAAGACTTGGAAGGAAAATGGTTTTTGATGGAAGAACAAAATGTACCCTATCCGTTGCCTCTCAACTAGTAAACTTCAGATGAGAAATAACAATAATATATTGTCAAACAGAGCATTACTTGGTAAACTGTTGTCATTGCTCTGTCTGAACTTGTGATGGTTCATTAGGTTATTTGGGGACAAGTTCACTGATTATTACCTCCAGCTGCTCCTTTTAAAGTAGTAGTTTCTTAGCATACATAACCCAGCCCATCATTCTGGTTTGTGTTAGATGTCTTTAAAATGTTTGAATTGGTGCAAAACCTGAATGGTGTGCTTCTGTTACTTCAGTCTTCCTTTCCTTCTTCTCCAACCACCCTCTGGGGTCTAAATCATCTTATCTGATTTTTTACATAGCATAAAATGATTTTAATATCCCTTCCCTTCTTCAGCCCTCCATATTACAACCTGTCCCAGCCGTATTCATCGGCCTATTCCTGGCTTTCCTGTTTTGGTGTTTCGGTCCATTGTGGTAGAGAAAGGTACAAGCACTACTGTTGAGTCCTTGTCTATTTGTCCCTGTCACCTGTTTGTGCCATATTTGTAATAGAGTGCATGGCAAAACCACACAGGTATTTTGTTACCTGACGCAAACCCTTCATTTAGTATGCTGTGTATTTGTGTTGTACTAATGAACAATCAACTAATCACATAACATTCTGTCTTGTTTCTTTTGTAGTAATGCTAACCATGAATTAACTTCACGCTAACCTGTTGTTAATATGCTTCCTTTAATGGAGTCTTTATCTCTAGCAAACTGGAGTAAGCAGTGAATTTCTGCAATATTATCGCCTACATCCCAGTAATGTGTTCAGTCATTTGAATGAGAAATGAAGAGTTTGCAATCTTGAAATGTTCAGCCAGTATTAGTATTACCCTTCCTTTCTTCCCTTTCATGGCTTAGGTTTTTTTTTTTTTTTTCCTCCCTCTTTAATCCTTTGCCTGTTTGCTGTGAAGATGAAGGAAAGTGAGATTAGTATAATGACCCATTGACTCTCAATCTCAACACCAATGGGAGTTTACTTCTTATAAGTATACTACTTATAAGTAAGCTCAGTAACAAACCTTTTTGAGCTTTGATCTGCAAATGAAGAGTGTTTCTCAAGAACACTGTCAGAATACCAGTACGAATAAAGGTAGCAACCAAAGTAAATGGATTTTATAAACCCTCTGAAAGCTAACTGGCTGACTGGGAAGCCCATCTGTGCCTTGCCTTTAACTGATAACAGAGCATGCTTGTCAGAGGAATCCTATGGGCAGGGCCTTAGTGCCACTTTCCTCTTGAACCTTGTTTGATTTATCTTCTTTGGTTTCAAGTTACAGGATCAAGCCTTTTCTTTCTATCTCATGTTAGAACTCTGAGTTTCATAAAAACAAACTTTTCAGCAGAAGTGTACTGCAGGTGCACAGTATATGCAGCAGGCACAGTCCAGAAATGTATTTAGAAGTAACTAATAAGTTTCAGCTATAGCAGATTTAAAAGCTGTTCAGGACTTTTCTGGGGTGTTCAGCCTTCCACATAATGGTCCTGCTGGTATGGTTGTCTCTCATTTTCCTTTCTTTTTAACTCAGCGTAACAGTGTAAGCACAGTTTTCCAAAGGTGTTTTAAGTACATGGGACTCAGTTCACCAAGGGGTTAAATATGTATGAAAAGAGAAGGAAAGAATGTGATATTGACTCTTGGTTTCTTTCCACACAGAAACCCTGGCCCTGGATGCCCATGTTGGCGGCCCTGGTTGCGGTGACAGCCATCGTGCTGTATGTGCCAGGTCTGGCCAGAGCTTCTCCATGACAGTGTGTCTTGAGTCTGTACACCGTCCTCCCTCTAGAAGCTGCCTCTCACTCATGCTGGAGACAAAGCAGAACCATTTTTTTCTTTTTTTACCTCTTAAAACAGCAAAGTGCAAGAATACAGCTGTAGGGTCATTGCTTTAACTTATATAAAAATATATCTGTCTATAGAGAGGATATAAAGTTGTGAATTTATTTGGATTTTCATGTAATTTTTAAATTAGTATGTTGAGATTCTGAATATTATGGTGGCCTAAAGTAGGCTTCTTAGTGCACCAAATTATTTATACCATAAATTTATAGATATTTTACTCTGAATTCTGATGGCCACATAATTCATTTTTCTGATTCGATAACTACTCAAACCGAACAACCAATATATAGATGGGAAGAGAGGCCCTGTGTGCTCAGTGCCTATCAGTTTGAATATATACATACACATACATACATATATATATTTTTTACATATTTACTCCATTTTTACTTGTTTAAAAAACCACTGAGCTATTGGGAACAAGACCTATACAATTATTTGTGTGGATTTTTTTTTTAAAAGCAAAAACACATTTGGAAAATATTCTGTTATGATGATAATTTGAAGAATACATAAAATGTTTGTTCAGCCTTAATATGACTTGAAGATGTAAAGGACATCAGCTTTGAAAAACTTTCCATGAGAGTTTGTATTTTCTTGAGCAAACTGAAATATTTCTGGGAGCAAAAACATAATTGCATAATTTCAGTGCAATCAACCAAACTTTTAAGTGAATTGGAATGTAACTTACTAAATCTCATGTATTTAAGAAATGTTTTCTTTAAAAGCCAAGTTACCTTCTCATATACAGCAGTTTAGAAAGCATGATTTTTTTTTTTCTGTCATCTGTTCCTCCAAGCATGTTTAATTGAAGGAAGAATTATATCTGTTTAGATAAGCTTTTATTGACTTAATTTGGTTATGATGTGGAGCTAATTCACATTCAGGGTGAACTGATGTTACCTACCAAGATTTCTTCCTTGGGTATACAAATGGTTTTTTTTTTTTTTTTTCTTCCTTTCTTTTTTTTCCTTTGCTTTTCTTTCTTTTTTTCTTTCTTTTCTTCCCCCCCCCCCTCTTTTTATTGTTAATCCGGACATAATTAGCACTATTCCCAAGATTGGTAGTGTTCCAAACACAATGACACACCTAAGCACTGCTTGACATTATACATTTAAAACACGGGGGTTAACGTTTAGCTATGGTTTTGTGCAGTACTATAGTGATGTTAGTATTCTAAAGCATTACATAATTCAGTTTTCTTCAGTTCGTGAAGACTGGGAGGGAACATTGGTGAATTGGCTTGAATGTTCTATGAGAATACCCTGATCTAGCCAGATACTGAGAATAGGAGTTTAGGATATAATTTGCCTTGTGATATTTGGCAGTCATTGTTTTTACTTTAAAAGTTGTATTTAAAGCTATTTGGGATTGTTGCCAGGAGAATCACTAGATTTATGGAGGGATTAGCCACAAATGACTTGTAGAAAATATTGTCATATAGTTCATTTTATCATTCTCTGTTGCAGGAAGCCACTCTACCACAGAATGCTAATATGCCAGTGGTACTCAGTACCTCTTGTATATAGTTATTGCAAATACTGTTCTGAAATGCTTAACTTCAAAATTACCTTTTTTAAAGTAAATAATTGTTTGAAATCTATTTTGTAAAGATAAAACGTACAATAGAATTTCTGGAGTACAGATTAAACTATTTGCACTAACACACATGATGTGCATGATTTAATAAAATAACTTTAATCTCCCTATGCATGTTTGAGTTGTGTATCATTGGAGTTCTTAGTGCTGGTTCTACCATTTGGGTGTCCTTAGCCTTTGCTTGAAGTGACTTATTGTTAAGCATATGTTACATGTTCATCAGGGTTTAAAAGAAACCAGAGCAGTTTTCTCCCAGTTTTACTTACTGCTGTACCTTTTCTCCTTTAATGTGACTCACTTGCCAGACTAATGTCATCAAATGTTAGGCCCAGCGTCAATATTTACTTTACTCAAATCAAATAAATGGGATTTTGTAGACTCTTCCAGTTTTTCCTCAAGAATGTAAATAAGCCTGTTCATAAGTAGTAACTCCAGTTTTGTGTGTTGTGTGGTTTTTGTTGTTGATTTATTTTGTTTTTCTAAACCATTTCCTTCCAGGTTAAACAGAGCAGGAGTATTACAGGGTTGAAATATTCATTAAAGCTTAAGTGTAGCAGTCAGCAATTGCATGTGAGTGTATGGCCAACCAGACTACAAAGTAAGACCTTATCCCAAAAATTCGACAACAAAAAAATCAGAACAAAACAAAAGAAGATGGTATTTAACAGGATACACACCTATATTGTCTCTTTAAGTTTTATCATCTTTGTTAATCAAGAGCAAATCACTTTATTTTCTCTGAGTTTCCATTTTATTATCTATAAACTCAGAAGAAAAATGTTTACATTTTTGGTGGTGGAATGAAAATTAAACAGCTAATGTATGGAAGTAGCACCATTCAAGTGATGTGTTTATGGGATGTCACAATGAAAATGTATTGGCAAATGGTAAAGTTTGGGGTGAAATAGTACATCTTATTTTAAAGGAATTGATAGAAACCCTGTGACAAAACTGCTCCCTTTATAATGGTCTCTTTGTAGAGTGGTGTGGTTGGTTTAGTAGTGAGCCAATTGCTGTTTTGGAATTTGTCTGTTTTTTGTTCGTTTGGTTTTTTTTTTTTTATTTTTGTTTTTGTTTTTTTTTGTTTGTTTGTTTTTTTGTTTGTTTGTTTTTTTGGTTTTTTGTTTTGTTTTGTTTTTTGGGAGACAGGGTCCTGTAGACCAGGCTGGCCTAGAACTCAAGAGATCTACTTGCTTCTGCCTCCTGAGTGCTGGGATTAAAGGCATGCACCACCACCACAGACTGGTGGAATTTGTCATTTTTATATGAACTCGGGTTTTTTTTTTTTTTTTTTTTTTTTGACCAAAAATAGTATATTTTCTCTCTTTAATCATCAGACTTGCCTCAACTCCTCTCCCCCTGTTATAGCCTGATGGGATCATCACTCAACACCATAAAGGAAAATTCTAAGACCCCAGTGATGTTGAGGCGCAAACTTTATTATGGTCGGGGTAGCACTCTGTATTCTTTCATACAGTCTTTGTTGCTTGGGTAAGCAGAAGCAAGCTAGCAGGTTACAGGGGCCAATGAAAAGCAGTTAGATTACTCTAATCCACAAGATTTTTTAAGTTTAAAAATAATAGATACGGTTTCAGTTGTGAGCCATTTTGACGTTGAACAGATGTTATCTCCTTCCTGTTATGGTTGTTATGGTGCCTTCCTTACAGTAAACTGAGCCTGGGTACAGAACAATTTAACCCTGGAGCTAAGTTTTCTTTTTGGAGAAGATGTCTTCCATCTAGGTCACATCATCCCACTACGAGTTTTGGCTTCTTTACAATGGTTTGTGATATGTCTGCTATCAAAAGGATAGACATGTGTGTACAAGTCAGCTGAGGTAAAAAAATGAAGGCTTGCTCAAAAAATGTATTTCCAGAAATTTGTTTTGCAAACATGGTTATGTGCACAAAATTTCAGCTACCAGGATGGTTAGTGTAGAATTTTTGTAAGATAAATGATCAAAATGTCCAGATCATTGGTTAAAACCTTGTTATTGCCACACTAAAGATTATACACTATGCATGAAATGTATTGGCAGCTTTCATCGACATATGTGGATCTTGTCTGCTGGACCTGGAATCCGAGGACCTGAAAGAATGCAGTGGACTATGGTCTAATGCTGTAGATAGCCTTATTTCAGTTTCAGTGTACTTTTTTGTTTGGTTGGTTTTTTTCCAAGACGGGATTTCTATATGGCTCTATCTGTCGTAGAATTGTTTGTAGATCAGGCTTCCCTCAAAGTCACAGAGATCTGCCCGCCTCTGCCTCTGAGTGGCTACGATTAAAAACATGTGCCCCACTCTGCCACTATAGGAATGATCCAAGGAATGTTGTTTGAGTTCAGAAAATCATGATCAGAAAAACATGTAAGTAAACACCAGTAAGTACATGCTGAATATTTATGGTAGCCTTTCTCAGAACTTTCTCAGGATAGACAATTTAAACACAGTTGCCTGACAGGCTCTATAGGTTTAGATTCGGGAAAGCATGAAAGCAAGACCATATCCAGATTCAGGGCACACTGACCAGATTGGACTCTATAGCTATCTTCTGACATCCAACAAGAATAAACATGTCTTGTAAATTGACTGTAAATGTTTGTCACAGGAAGCATGAAATCACATCCAAGAACAATCCTGGGAACAAATGCACCTGAGGTAAAAGGCCATCTTCCTTTCTTCCTAGAGTCTTGCTCACAGTTCCCCTCAGCATCGTTCACCATTCATCTGTTGTCCATGTTGCAACATTTCCTCCTTTGTTGTTTGGAGTCATCTACATCAAAAAAGTAAATCATGAAAAGACAGAAGTGCAACACTAGATGCAAGAACATTATGCATGATGTTTTGCCATCAGAAAAGAGGAGCTATACCTTGTAAGGCATCAGCAATCCGTTTTGCTATCAAAGTTCCAGGCAACTGCTTAGACAATGTCTAAAAAATTTCATCCTGGTGCCTAATGGTCTAGTTCATATGGGATAGGATAATGGCTGCATGTAGGGCTGAGCATCCTGTAAATGGTGGGAAGCCTAAGTAATAAGTTCCCACAGGGAAAAATTTTTAAAAATTTAAGTAAGTTGATAGCAAGAGCATTTCAAGGATTAGTTCCTCTCTGTGTGTTTTGAAAGTTATTTAAGAGTAGAATGTGTATGTTCTACTAATGTTTGACCTTGTGGGTTATAAGGGATTTCAGTGATTTGTTGAATTTGTCATTCGTGACAGAAGTATAAAAGCTGCACCAATATTTGTTTTTAACAGTGTGTATACCCATAACATGTTCGTAATGTCTGCAATAAGGTGGAAATCAGAGCTTTGGAGGAGGGTTGTTTACCTAACTGTGGATGTTGAATAGTTAATATTTTATCATTGAGGCTTGAACAGCAGTACTTAAATTGTCATGTGACCATCTTTGCTTGTAGAGCAATATGATTAGCTGTGGGGGCACCCAGGATCTGTGAGTCGTTGACATAAACAGGAATGTTTTTTCTTCCCAGTGAAAAGAGTGAATAAAGCTCAGGAGGGTGAGGTCCATATGTCTCAGCAGGAACAGAGGCATCCCACAGAGACAAGATAGCCAAAGTAGCAATTCTGTACTCAGATCCTTCCCCTGAGATTTCATGAATTCTTTTCTCTCAGTTACTAATTCCTTCACCTGAGTCACCTCATCCTCCAAAGAACTGTGAGTCTGAATTGTTTTGGACAAATCCAAAAATGTTCTGCATCAGCCAGGCCATCCCTGCCCCAATCTTTAAAAAAAAAAAAAAAAAATTAAGTATGTAAATAGCATATTGTAAGGTATAGTTATGCTACCCTACTCCCCCTCCTTTATTTTTAAATAACATCTTAAGTTGTCAATTTTTTCCACAAAATATTGACAAATAGAATGCCTGTGATGTGGGTTATAGCAAGCCATTCGCAAAATTCTTGGAAAGGTTTGGCAATGTATGTAGGAGCATTGTTAGTTTTTTTTTTTTTTTTTTTCTCTCTCTCAATATTTTACAGGGCATAAAAGAGAAACCATTGTTAAGTCATCTGAAGTATTTAACACAAATTTTATTTTGTTAATGAGGAATACAAATGTAAAGGGCTAATCCAATTTTTACTTTTGCAAACAAATCTTTTTAGCATTTTATTTTTTTTATAGAAAACAGAATATCATCCATATTATGTTTGCTAAAATTGAGAGGAAACAGCTCTTTAGCTCTTTTTGAAGGAGTAGCAACAAACTTTTGACATGAAGTTGGACTGTTTGTCATTATTCATTTCTTTTTCCTTGTTGGAGACTGCCAATAGTTGAGGCATTGTCTGCCCTCAGAGGGCTGTAGCCAGAGTTAACCCTTGAGTATGCTTAGGCCCCAAATCAACACAGAGGTGGATATAATCATTAATATCTCCTTCCTTTCTGAAGTGACAGATAGCAGCCTGGCATGCAGCACTAGCATTCTGATATGCCAGTTGTTTAACAATGCACATTTCTGCCTCCCCATCAGCCAACAGGTGACTGATACGGTTCATCACGCTCCTGTCTAATTTTAGAAAAGTTCTCTGTCTTTACCTAGAATCCGGTAATTTATGCTATGCATGCTCACTCCTAGAAAGCTGAGGCACTCCTTTCATGGATGGCAGTGCATCGTCTTCCCTCTTCCCCCACTTGTTTTAATCATCATTATAGTCCTCAGATAGAGGAGGATAGAATATTTCAGGCAGAGGAGTAGACGGCCAGGAGCATTTGTCCTTGACTGGAGCCAACATTTTTACTTTTGACTTTGTTCTACTCGTTCACTGGAAAAATTTTCTAGCTTGTATTTTTTCTCCTGATGTTTCATTATCTGGCTCATAGTCATGCAATGAATCTGTCAGTCTTTTCTAAATTCTTTTGCTTGTTCCTGTTTGTTTGTATTACAATAGGGACCAATGCCCAAGTTATCTAGAATTGTGTTGGGATACTTTCTCCTTGTCTCTGGTCTTTCCCTATATTTTCTTTAATTTGAGCTAGAGTACCCTCTTCAGGAAACCAAGCATTATATTTTGTTATTGAATCCCAATGTTCTTGCAGCTGGCTTTCAGAAATTGCAGCACCATTCTTTCTAAAGAAATGATGTATCAACTCACTA